GAATAATGAATAGAAGAAAGGCATATTGGTAACTGAACTTTAAGGACTACCCTCCAGGTTACCAAAGAAGCACCTTGAATATACATACCTCCATTACAGTACTTATCACATTACATTTTATTTACAGAGCTACCTCTCCCTATGACTTCCTGTGGCAAGTAGATGTTCAATTAAAGTTTTTTTTTGGATAAAAGAAAGAACAGTTAGGAACCAGAGAAGAAAGTGGGCAAGAAAGAGAACATAAACCATTAGAGAAGAAGTAAAATGGGGAGATTATCTTGGTCACTATTTCTTAATCCAACATAAATAAAACACCCAAAAATAAGAGCCTGTTTGTATACAAATTGATCTGAAGTATTCCAGATCCAGAAAAAAAGTACCTTGATACAATCCTGATAGAACAGACTGAAGAGTAAAGAAAATCGAAGCTGGATGGCTCAACAACAGCACAGTTCCCCAAAGAGAGATAAGACCTTATTTTAGGCACTGAGAGATATTATCCAAGCAATGAAGAGAACAACATAGTTAAAGTGAATTCAGAGGCGTACTATTAATTTTGTACAGATAAGTAATTTTTTTTAACATCTGGAAATCTGATGGTTAATAAATCAGCCACCAGAGACTTCCTAACGAAGCTAATTAAACAGTGTAAAGATTTGTGAATGGACCAATTTAAAGCAGCTTGTTAATAATGTTACAGAATGCTAAATAAATAACGATAGTAATAAAGGCATAATTAATGGTGCATAAACCAGGGAGCTAAGGGATTTAAATCTTAAACTTGGACAATTTCCTTTGTGAGTTTCAGTGAGTCATTTTTGTTACTAATTAATAAAAATAAATAGTATTATTGACTGGAGGATAGTAGTATGAGCCTGGAAAGTAGACAGACTGAAGTTGGCTACTAAATGTGATTGACTATGATCAAATGACTCAATTTTTTTTAAAGATTTTATTTATTTGACACAGAGAGACAGAGAGACCACAAGTAGGCAGACAGGCAGGCAGGCAGAGGGAGAGGGAGAAGGAGGCTCCCCGCTGAGCAGGGAGTCTGATGGGGGGCTTGATCCCAGGACTCTGGGATCACGACCTGAGCCAAAGGCAGACACTTAACCGACTGAGCCACCCAGGCACCCCTAAATGACTCAATTTTTATTGTGTACTTGATATGCAGTACTTCTTCTTTGTACAAAAAGTTAGCCACCTGCACCTTACCGCAAGGATATAAAAAGAGATAAATATGCATAAAATTGCTGTGAGCTTTTAAAATAATTAAATTAAAACTAAGTTACTAGGGTGCCTGGGTAGCTCAGTCATTAGCAGGTGCCTCCGGCTCAGGTCGTGATCCCAGAGTCCTGGGATCGAGCCCCGCATCGGGCTCCCTGCTCCGCAGGAATTCTGCTTCTCCCTCTCCCACTCCCCCTGCTTGTGTTCTCTCTCTTGCTCTCTCTGTGTCGAATAAATAAATAAAATATTAAAAAAAAACCCTAAGTTACCATGACACAAACTGTCTAAATTTTGTATTAGCATAATAACAGGTGGTTATTCCATAACCTAAATTCAATTCAGTACATTCTCTCCAGGTATTAACAGTGATAATAAAACCATTCCCTTGTGCCTGTATAGGTTTTTCAAAGCACTTTCACAAATATTAATTGAAGAAATTGTATTATGTACGATCTGACCACTGACTGTACAGGCATGGTAAGTATAGGTTTATGTTTCAGGAAATATTCTTATCTCCTCCTTAGTGCTAATAATAACATACTTCCTGTTATTTATGTGGATTTTCACTTCTTTCAAAGCACTTTTACGTATATTAACTAAAGCAGTGGCATTAGGAATGATCTTTCCATTCTTTGATCATCCAAAGGGCAGAATTCAAAAAAGAAGAGGACTAAAGATTGATAAATAGACTAGATGGTTTTGAGGCAGTCAACTCATGATTCTTAAAGCTGGACTCAGGTTTCCCAAAAGTCTTAGAATCAGAGCAAACTCTCCAGGACAATAAACTGATTCTTCCTTTCTTCTAGACATAGGCTTTGGGAGGCAGTAGAATTAAGTGATTAAAGTATCTTAGGTATATGCAATAAGGGGAGAAACCAAATCTGTCTTGATCATCTCTGTAATCCCTCCATGTCAAGCACAAGGCTCAGTGCAGAGTTAATGCTCAATAAATCATTATGATGATTACCACAGGAAGAACATTCTAACCAAGCTCCCACAGAATATCTGTTATGGAGCTATTACTTTTCCTCCACAATTACTGCTTTCAAATGTGTGCACACCAAGAAGAACCTAAGATCGGGGGCCTGGGTGGCTCAGTCAGTTAAGTGTCCGCCTTTGGCTCAGGTCATGGTCCCAAGGTCCTGGGATTGAGCCCGCATCAGGCTCCCTGCTTGCTGGAGTCTGCTTGTCCCTCTCCCTCTGTCCCTCCCCACACCCCGGCTCATGCATGCTCTCGCTCTCTCTCTCAAATAAAATCTTTTTTAAAAAGATTAGGATCACAGAGCAAAAAGCTGAGGTCCATTAAGAATCTAGGACACAGGGCGCCTGGGTGGCTCAGTTGGTTAAGCGACTGCCTTCGGCTCAGGTCATGATCCTGGAGTCCCGGGATCGAGTCCCGCATCGGGCTCCCTGCTTGGCGGGGAGTCTGTTTCTCCCTCTGACCCTCTTCCCTCTCGTGCTCTCTATCTCTCATTCTCTCTATCTCAAATAAATAAATAAAATCTTTAAAAAAAAAAAAAAAGAATCTAGGACACAGGGGCGCCTGGGTAGCTCAGTCGGTTAAGGGTCTGACTCTTGGTTTCAGCTCAGGTCATGATCTCGGGGTCGAGATCACTAGCCCTGTGTTGGGCAGTGCAGAGCCCATTTGTCCCTCTCCCTCTTCTCCTCCCCTACCTTCTCTCAAATGAATAAATAAATAAAATCTTTAAAAAAAAAATCCAGGATACAGATTACCAGAAAGTAGATTCAGAGGGCCAAGACAATTTCAAAGGCAAAGGGAAATATACCTGATGACCCTTAATTTAGCAAGCAAACACTTTTAAATCCCCATGCTTAAACTAAAAATTACTTCAGCAAACTGGTACAGCCACTCTGGAAAACAGCATGGAGGTTCCTCAAAAAGTTAAAAATAGAACTACCATATGATCCACTGCAGTACTAGGTATTTACCTAAAGGATACAAAAATACTAATTCAAAGGGATACATGCACCCCAGTGTTTATAGCAGCATTATCTACAATAGCCAAATTATGGAAACAGTCCAAATGTCCATTGATTGATATATGGCTACAGAAGTGTGTGTATATATATATATATATGAATATCACTCAGTCATAAAAAAGAATGAAATCTTGCCATTTGCAACAATGTGGCTAGAACTAGAGAGTATTACGCTAAGCAAAATAAGTCAGAGAAACACCATACGATTTCACTTACATATAGAATTTAAGAAACAAATGACCATAGGGGAAAAAACAGACGGAGGCAAACCAAGAAACAGATTGAAGAGAACAAACTGATTGTTACCAGAGGGGAGGTGGGTGGGGGGGATGGGTAAAATAGGTGATAGGGCTTAAAGAGTGCACTTGGTGGGGGGCACCTGGGTGGCTCAGTTGGTTAAGCGTTTGCCTTCAGCTCAGATCATGGTGCCAGGGTCCTGGGATCGAGAAGCCTGCTTCTCCCTCTCCCTCTGCCCTCCACTTGTGCTATCTCAAATAAATAAATAAAATCTTTAAAAAAAAAAAAGAGTGCACTTAGTGCGATGAGCACTGAGTGTTATATATGAGTGCTGAATCATTAAATTGTACATCTGAAACTAATATTACACTGTTAACTAACTGGAATTTAAATAAAAACTTAAAAAAATAATAATTAAAAAATTAAAATTACTTCAAAAAAGAAGTTCCAAAAAGGAAAATTATTTCCTATATGTTTATGTCCTTAGGGTCACTCATCTTGTGAGTTGCAAAAATAGTTTCTTCTTTTTCTTTTATATGACCAAGATAAAGGAAGGTACTTTGGTTTATGCAGTAATTGGGTTACTAGAAATGTGGATCTAAATAAAATTTTTAATTGATTGCCTTTTAAAAAGCACAAGGAACACTGCCATTTTTTAAAGTTCAATGGTAAAATAAATAAATAGATAAATAGTCCAACGGTAATACATTTCATAAACATTTATAATATTACACTGCTCTAATGTAGTTTTGTTGTTTCCATATTTAACACACAGCACATTTTCTTAATGACAAATGTACAGCTTAAAAAAAAACCACAATCTACTTATATTTTAAATTTAGTTGGAGGTTTCTTTTAAAAAATATTTTGTAAAATCTGTAAATTAACCACACATTAGGAAAAGACAGGGCCATTGGATAATTTACAAACCACACAACTACAGAAGATAAATATGAAAGCACAACACTTCTCAGATCATTTTGATCTCCTTAAAATAATGTATGTCCTTTTGCTTAAGGATATTCTCAAGTCAAAGGAAAGAAGAAGTAAAACCAAGGTCACCAAAAGCTCCTAAACCATACCAACTTTGGCATGTGGAATACAATATTAATACTAGCCAAAACAATTTACAGTAAAGCCTCCTCCACACATTATTTCTTTGAGGCAGATGGAAACAAATACTTTACCAAAAATTTTATTTTATATCTGGGATAATTTTGCCTGAGGTTGTACAGAGAGTATTCAGAGACACTATAGAGACCTAAGTATCTTGTTCATTCCTGTATCTATACAATTTTATAGATCATCTTTAAGCAGGATTGCCAGATAAAATACAGGACAAAATACTGCATCGAACATACTTATACTACAATATTACTCATTGTTTATCTGAAATTAAAATTTAAGTGGGCATCCTATATTTTTATTTGCTAAATCTGGCAACACTATCTTTCAGTTTGTCTGTTTTAGAAAATACCAAATTCACTGCCAGGAAGAGACTTAATCTCATGAAAGTAGAGCAATTCTTTCTTTACCTTTTAGGAACTTCTTGAGAACCAAACCACCATAAATGCTTCCTGCAGAAGCAACTGAAAGAAACAGAACACAAAGAAATATCACAAACAATTAAACAGATTTTATCTAAAGAATCTAATGGAAGCCTAAAAACACTTTATAGATACAGAACATAAAAAAGGTGACCACTCTGTAATGAGTTTACTAAACATGGAGGCATCAAAGAAGCATTATGAGGCTACAACAACTCTCTGGCAGCAGATAACTTCTTGGAGATGAGAAGTAAATGGCAAGTCTTTTCACCTACATCCAATACCAGGACTGCTTCTTTAGGTATTACTATTCCTGAGAGAAAAGGATTATAGGAAGACTGCAAACTGTAGCTAGTAATCAGAATATATCATGCCAATAACCCATATTCCAGTACAAGATTCAATTAAAAATTTTGGCCCTTCTTTTAAACAATTTACTCTCTAGTAGAAAATATTAGACTATCAGGTAAGAATTCTTCATATCTAGAGTTCTAACTCTGAACATAAGAACATTTATTTTTTTTTTTAAAGATTTTATTTATTTATTTGACACACACAGAGAGATAGTGAGAGAGAGAGAGAGAGAGAGAGGGAGAGAACACAAGCAGGGGGAGTGGCAGGCAGAGGGAGAAGCAGGCTTCCTGCATGAGCAGGGAGCCCGATGTGGGGCTCGATCCCAGGACCCTGGGATCATGACCTGAGCTAAAGGCAGCGGTTTAACCAACTGAGCCACCCAGGCACCCCTGAACATAAGAACATTTAGACCAACAATCTTTTTCTTAAAAATTTTTTTAAGTAAACTCTACCCCCAATGTGGGGCTCAAACTCACAACCCTGAGATCAAGAGTCACATGCTCAACTGACTGAGCCAGCCAGGTGCCCCTAGAGCAATGATTCTTCAGGGAAAGAGGGTAAGGAAGGAAGCAGGCACCTACGAGGGGAAAAAAGATTAGAACCACCTGGAGACTTTTTAAATTGAACATCACTCCCCCAGACGGTTAACCCATAGTTAAGAATCTAAGAATCACTGCCCCAGGAACCAGTGAAAATGTGTCTCTCTCCCTAGAAATGTGTACTCCTCAGGCAGGGGGAAAAGGTTGAGAATAACTGAACTACAGTGAGAGGCAACACCATTCTCTAAATGTGTGCTGTCCAAATACAGTAGCCACTGGATACATGTGGCTATTTAAATTTAAATTTAGCTAAATTAAATTAAATTAAAAATAAGATTCTTCAGTCACACTACCGTATTTCAAGTGGTCATTAGCCAAGTGTGGGTAATGGCTACTGTACTGAACAGCACAGACAGAGATTTCTATCATCCCAAAAAGTTCTACTGAAATGCAATAGAGCAGGGCTTTACATTTCCAGATTTTGAATGATTCTAGACAAATGGTATTTCAAAAGGCCCAAGTAACACAGAATATTCAATAAAAGACAATCATCTTGGGGTGACTGGGTGGTTCAGTCAGTTAAGATCTGCCTTCAGCTCAGGTCATGATCCCAGGATCCTGGGATGCAGCCCCACATGTGCCTGCTTCTCCCTCTCCCCATGTTTGTGCTCTGTCAAATAAAGTCTTAAAAAAAAAAAAAGACAATCATCTTTTTCTTAACATTCCTCACAGGCATACACTGGTTCTAACTTAAGGAGAGTGGGTCACTGGGACAGGGATGGCAGGTGGTAGCAGGCCTACACTAGTGATTAGTGAAGAACTGAACGTTAATAAGAAAAAAAATACAACCTATATATCTCACAGTGTGTCCATGATGTTTCTCAATTGTGTATGTCACACTGTTTCCTCATACATCTTTTTTTAATTTTAACAAGTACCGTATCAACAATTGTTGAGGGGCACCTGGGTGGCTCAGTCATTAGGCATCTGCCTTCGGCTCAGGTCATGATCCCAGAGTCCTGGGGTCAAGCCCCGCATCAGGCTCCCTACTCAGGGGGAAGCCTGCTTCTCCCTCTCCCACTCCCCCTGCTTGTGTTCCTGCTCTATCTCTCTGTCAAATAAATGAAAAAAATCTAAAAACAAAAAAATCGGGGCGCCTGGGTGGCTCGGTCGGTTAAGCGACTGCCTTCGGCTCAGGTCATGATCTCAGGGTCCTAGGATCGAGCCCCGCATCAGGCTCCCTGCTTGGTGGGAAGCCTGCTTCTCCCTCTCCCACTCCCCCTGCTTGTGTTCCCTCTCTCGCTGTCTCTCTGTCAATTAAATAAATAAAATCTTTAAAAAAAATAAATAAAAACAAAAAAATTGTTGAAAATGGGTCATTTTTGGTGAACATACTCAGCAATTATCCTGCGTGCTCCACACCTCTTCCAGCCCCCAATTTTTAGCTATACTTCTAATGTCTCTGTACTAAAGTAATAAAGTGCTATCCTTCAAACACAAAGATAACAGTAGAGACTTATTTGTAAAACATTATTTTTAAAGCAACAGCATCCCCCAAAATTCCCTCTAAAGAACAGAAGATATTAAAAAAAAGAGGGGGCGCCTCGGTGGCTCAGTCGTTAAGCTTCTGCCTTCCGCTCAGGTCATGATCCCAGGATCCTGGGACAGAGCCCCGCATCAGGCTCCCGGCTCAGCGGGGAGTCGGTTTCTACCTCTCCCACTCCCCGTTTGTGTTCCCTCTCTCCCCGTGTCTTTCTCTGTTAATCAATCAATCTTTAAAAAAAGAGCTATGAGGTCAAATATGTTTGGGAAATGCTGTATACTACAGCCCATTTTTGAAGATTCATAGTCTACACTGGCATATCAAAGGTTTTGAGAAGACACAATGAAACTCACTTGATGTTGTTTTTCAGAGAGTGAGTAGGGAGGGTGGGGAGCAGAGGGAGAGAGAGAATCTTAAGCAGGCTCCACACCCAGTGCAGAGCCCAATGCAGGGTTCACTCTCACAGCCCTGTGATCATGACCTGAGCCGAAATCAAGAGTCGGTTGCTCAACGAACTGAGCCACTCAGGCACCCCTCATTTGATTTTAACCAGCATTCCCCGAATTTATATGACTACTTAACTCCTTCCTCATAACTCATATAAACATACTGTAGCACACTATGAAAAACACTGCAATAAACAGTATGTTAAAGACTTCAACAATTACTGATGGAAAAACTATATAGTGATCTCTCAGTTTCTCATAGATGGATCATTCAAGTAACAAAATTTGCTGGTGTTGTGAGTTGCATTTTGTGCCTCTGAAAGAGACTTTGAAGAACTAAGCCCCAGTACTTGTGAATATGTCTTTATTTAGAAATAGGGTCTTCACAAATGTAATCAAATTAAGATGAGGTCATACTGGTTAGGGTGGACCTAAATCCAATTGGTGTCCTTTTAAGAAGGCTACATGAATGGGGTGCCTGGGTGGCTCAGTCGTTAAACGTCTGCCTTCGGCTCAGGTCATGATCTCAGGGTCCTGGGTTCGAACCCCACATCGGGCTCCCTGCTCAGCAGGAAGCCTGCTTCTCCCTCTCCCACTCTCCCTGCTTGTGTTCCCTCTCTCTCTGTGTCTCTCTCTGTCAAATAAATAAATAAAATCTTTAAAAAAAAAAAAAAAAAGAAGGCTACATGAAGACACGGACACAGATAAACACAGAGGGAGACTATCCCATGAAGGCAGAGGCAGAGATTGGAGTGATATGCCTACAAGCCAACACCAAGAGCTTGCTGGCAACTACCAGAAGCAAAGAGAGAGGCATGGAATAGATTCCTCCCTCACAGTCTCCAGAAGGAACCAACCCTACCTTAGACCTTGATTTTGGACTTCTGGCCTCCAAACCTGTGAGGGAATAAATTTATGTTTGTGGTACTTTGTTATAGCAGCCCTAGATAACTAATACATTGTTTTTCATCATCAGAGATTTCAGACCAACCACATCACTTCATACTTTCAAGTAAAGATGACAGACTGAGGGGCACCTGAGTGGTGTAGTTCGTTAGGCATCAGACTCTGGGTTTCAGCTCAGGTCATGACCCTGATCAGGGTCATGAGATTGAGCCCTGTTTGGGGCTCTGGGCTGGGCGTGGAGCCTGCTTCAGATTTTCTCTCTCTCTCTCTCTCTCTCTCTGCCCTTCCCCCACTAGCTCTCTAACTCCTGTCTCTAAAATAAATAAATCTTAAAAAAAAAAAGATGGCAGATTGAACATACCCATTATTATTATTACCTCCTGAAATTGCAATAAAACAATAGGTTATTTTTTAGAGGAATAAACCCACAAGGACAGAGAAGAGACAAAGATGATGACAGTAAAATTCTAGAAACTGAAAAGCAGAAGGACTAGTAGGTTGGATTCAGGGGACCTTAGAAATTGAATCATAATCTAGAAAAGGGAAAGGCCAAGAAACAACCCAAATGATGCAACAAAATCCCCCAAAGACTCAGGAATGGTAGAATCAGGAACTTTTGGAATTAGAGGTGGGGTAGGAGCTAAAATAAGGAGAGTTAGTTGGAAAATGAATTTAAGAAGTAGTCGGGTAGGGGCATCTGAGTGGCTCAGTCGTTAAAGCGTCTGCCTTCAGCTTGGGTCATGATCCCAGGGACCTGGGATCGAGCCCCGCATCAGGCTCCCTGCTCAGCGGGAAGTCTGCTTCTACCTCTCACACTCCCCGCCCTCCCCCCCGGCTTGTGTTCTCTCTCTCACTGTCTCTGTCAAATAAATAAATAAAATCTTAAAAAAAAAAAAAAAAGTAGGGGCGCCTGGGTGGCTCAGTCGTTAAGCGTCTGCCTTCGGCTCAGGTCATGATCTCAGGGTCCTGGGATTGAGCCCCGCATCAGGCTCCCTGCTCAGTGGAAAGCCTTCTTCTCCCTCTCCCACTCCCCCTGCTTGTGTTCCCTCTCTCGCTGTGTCTCTCTCTGTCAAATAAATAAAATCTTAAAAAAAAAAAGTAGTCGGGTCTTTAGATGCTTTCCTCCACTCAGCATTCTAGGGACTGACCCTTCCTAACCTTGGCAGGGGGTGGGGGAAGGGTTATTCTCTGAAAAGAAGCATGGGTTTTTGAGTTGAGGACCAAAGGTGTATTAAAAATAACTGGCCTGGGGCACCTGGATGGCTCAGTTGTTAAGCATCTGCCTTCGGCTCAGGTCATGGTCCCAGTGTCCTGGGATTGAGCCCTGCATCGGGCTCCCTGCTTGGCCGGGAGCCTGCTTCCCCCTCTCCCACTCCCTCTGCTTGTGTTCCCTCTCTCATTGTGTCTCTCTCTGTCAAATAAATAAATAAAATCTTTAAAAAAAATAAATAACTGGCCTGAATGAACATAAAGACTGAATGCTGAGATACCTCTCTTACCCCTCCATCCCAGAACACTCACAATCTGGCTTTTTCTCTACCTGGTGAGAGGCTATGAATTTACACATAGAAAAATCTGGCAGAATGCTTTTGAACGTTAATTAACAATTATCTCAAGGGATGAAATGACTAGAAAGTCTCACTTTCCATAATATATGTGTCTGCAATGTTCAAATGTTTTATGATAAACATGTATCACCCTTCCTGCTACCAAAAAATTATGAAAATTATTACATAAAGATCAGAGACAATAAAGACAATAAAGAGAAGAGAAAGGCCCCTATATTTCACATGGGCTGAACAAATCCATTAGGTTCAAAATGCCTATGGAATTGGGTTTTTTGCTAAAAGCTACTATGGCTCAGGTCCTCCACTCTGAGTGAAATCCATCCTGCTACCTTGGCCAGTTTATTGGATTAGAATCAATGCATAAACTAACACAACCACATACAGACCAGCATCACCCTAGCCATCTAGCTAACCAAAACTCTCCTATGAACTGTGGGAACTCTGTCCAGTCAGAATGGAGTTCACGCACAGTAATAGCAAACCAACCTGTCATATCTCTCTCAAGGATGTTTACTGCTAGGTACCCAAAGAGAAGACATGGCTTTCCAGTTCAGTGACACAATGTCTTATAGAGCCTAAAGTACTATTCAGTCTCAGCTGGGACTCAGGATGACTCCTCTAAGGCTGACAGGATAACTTTATCCCAAAGTATCCTTCAGTAAACCTACACACACATACACACTCTCTTCTCTCTCATACACACACAACCAAACAAAAAAGTTATCACTTCGAAGTTCAAGAAAGGGCGCCTGGGTGGCTCAGATGGTTGAGCGTCTGCCTTCGGCTCAGGTCATGATCCCGGGGTCCTGGGATCGAGCCCCGCGTTGGGCTCCTGGCTCAGCGGGGAGCCTGCTTCTCCCTCTCCCTCTGCCTCTCTCCCTGCTCATGCTCTCTCTCTCTCTCTCTGTATCTCTGTGTCTCAAAAGAATAAAATCTTAAAAAAAAAAAGCTCAAGAAAGTTAGGTTGTTGGGGCACCTGGGTGGCTCAGTTGGTTAAGCCTCTGCCTTTGGCTCAGGTCATGATCGCGGGGTCCTGGGATCAAGCCCCGCATCAGGTTCCCTCTCCTCCCTACCCATGCTCTCTCTCACTATCTCTGTCTCTCTCTCCTAAATAAATAAATGGAATCTTTCAATAAAAAAGAGTTAGTTCTTCCAGGGACACTCAATGCATCAGCTTTCCCTCAAGAGTGTAGGCAGAAACAATGAGAGAGTAAGAGCCAAATGGAAAAGGTTTATTTTCAAACTAACTGCAAGTTAGAATTATTAAAGTATGCACCATTTATCATTTTTTTTCTTTTCCTTTTCCTTTATTTTTTGGCTCTCTTCCAACTATCAAAGGCTGGACATGGAAAAGGAGATAAAATTCAATGTAATGTAATTTTGCTGTGAAAGAGGAGGTTAAAACCAAGAGCAAGAAGGACATTGTTTCCGAGAATTCTTAAGCCAGTAAAATAAATAATCCTCTGATGTCACTGTATACACCTTTCCTGTAGAACACATTTGTGAATCTATCACCAGATACTTATTACATAATTATTTAATTTTTTTAACTATGGAATAACCCTGGAGTGATAACATGATAAAAGATTATGACTAACTTAAATTTTTAAATTAACTATAACAAATCATAACAAAACAAAGACAGAAAATCAATATTTCTTCCTCTACTTACTAGTTGTTACACAATGAAGAGTATTTGCCTGATGCTTAGAATTTAATGCTTCCATGGAAATCACTAGCTGTCCTTCTAGCAATGCTCCCTTTGATGTTCCTGTTTCACACTTCCAGTGAATTATTAAATATTTCAAAATCTGAAAAGGGCACAATTCAAAGAAAACAAATCTTTAGAAATCATGGCAATATCAAATTTAGATGATAGTTAACAATCCGAATTTCCAAAAAATAATATTCTTGCTTGCAAAATGTCAGATTTACATTTTGTTCAGAACAAAGCATTGTGTCTACACAGAAGAAATAACCAGAAAAGTGACATAAGAAGGGAGACATGGGAAATTAACACAATGCCCAACAAGACAGGAAATGGAGACAATAAATTGCTTTATTCAAAGGCTAAGTTCATCTGGAAATAATAATTTGGAAAAATTAAGTGGGAGTTTGTTTTTCCTGTTTCTTTTTTTCTCCCCAAGTAAAAACCAATGTGAAGATTATGAATAAGACTGGCATCTGGCCATGAATCATCTTTACCTTTCATTAAATCATCATTTCTGAGGATCAGAATATAGTTAAGAGCACTGCCTTTGGAGGCAGATGCCTGGGTTTGAATCCCTGATGTGCCATGTGATCTTGGGCAAGTTATTTAACTCCTCTCTACCTAAGCTTCCTCATTTACCAAAATGAGGACAAAACCACCAGTTATGGCTGCTGTGAAATGTAAATAAAATAAGAGCAAAGTGCTTAACACGGTGCCTTGAAAATATAACAGTAAATGCTTAATAGACATTAGCTTTTATTTCGAATAAGTTCATCTGCAGTGAAGACTGCACACAATATTTTAAGTTTTAAGGTTCCAAGATGTCTAGATAAAACATTCGATCTTGATGAGGGAAATTTAAAATATACTGTATTTAATTCCATTATTTATGAAAGTACACTCTCACTTCCACACTAAGGTACCACAGGGAAAATTACTACCCCTTTTCTTAAAGGCAAAGAGATCTCATCTCCGTAAGAGAACTTGAGAACGATGATCCTAATGTGTACGAGAGTTTATAAAAATGGTTTCCAGGCGTTCCTACAATCTAACACTTTCCTTCACACATCCTCCGACGCAGGGCGCTCCCCTCCGTTAAGACTTTCCCCGCAGCGTCTTTATCCGTGAGAGAGCAGTTGGGAAAAGAACACTGGCCTGGGAGTCAGAAGCTCTGGGTTCTAGCCTAGCGTCTGTCGTCTGTAAAATCGAATCCTCCAACTTTCTTTGAGGATAATGAAGGAGGCAAGAGGACCGTCAGGATCAACCCCGTCGGGCCTGTGGTTCTGTTCTGTCTAGTCCCCCGTACAAACCCAGGGCCTAAGAATTCGATCAGGGGGCGGCTGTGAGGGTGCTGCCACGGCTGAACCCACGTGGCGTGGCGGCGCCGGGCGTTCCGTCCCACCCTCCAGGGCAGGAAGGTTCCCCGGACCGCGGGGTGGTCGGGGCTCAGGGAGGCCTCTGCACCGCAGCCATCCACCACCCGACTGCTCGGGGCCCGACCCAGGAATGCGCCCCACACCGTGGCCCACTGGCCGGCTGCACACGACTCTCCCTCACGCCCACTTCGCCCGCACTGGTCTCGCCTTCCGCCCGGGGCTGCCCATTCGTCCTTCCTGCGCGCCCCCTCGGCCCGCGGGGACCCCCCCCCCGGCCGGTCTCCGGGCCCTAACCTGGTCCGCTAACGCCTGGCAAACACTTGAGCCTCCGGGGCCTCGGTTTTCTGGGCTGCCAGGTGGGGTTCCCCCCAACTGAGGGAATGGTTGCACACTGCCCAAGCGCTCCCTCATCTGCTCCTCACAGCCCCGTGTGGGGCCGGCGGGCTTTCACCGAAGCACCTCATTCCCACCTCAGGCACCGCCTGACCCCTCGGCCCAAACTTCGCGGTCCCCTCACAAAAACCTTCCCAGAGCGTCCGCCTCTCTTTTCTCTCCCTCCCCGGCATCACCTCGCAGACTGCCACGGCCGTGCACTCCATGACGCGGAGGCAGCAGCAGCGGCAGCAACTACTGCAGCGGCAGCACCAGCAGCAGCGACGCCCACTGCCGGCTGCCCGCCCGGACGTCGACCTCCGCCGGCGCCCACGCCCGGTCGCTCGGCGTTCTTCCCGCCCGCGCGCGCCCGCCCCGCCCATCGGCCCGCCGCGCCTGCGCACTTCGCGCCGCACCTCCCTCAGGCCGCGAACCGCCGGAGCTCGCCAAGAGCGGTGGGGAGGTGCCGGGAGCCGCGAGGGCCCGTGGGCGGACGGGTGGGCGGGCCGCCGCGCTGGGGAGAACCCGCGGGTGGCGACTGAAGCTCGAGGCGAGCGAGAATGAAGCCAGGCCAAGACTCTCCTTCCCCCGGAGAGGGACTTTCCCACGGTCCCGCCGAGGTGCGGCCCTCGGCCGGGAGAAACTGCTGGGGCCCCGTGCCGGATCCCCAAGCCGTTTCTTGGCTCCCGACCGGCCTCACCTCCTGCGGGGGCTGCCCCAAATGCCCTAGGCCAACCTCTGCTTCCCAGATTTAGCAAATAAAAATACAGGACGGCCAGTTAAAATTGAATTTCGGATTAAAAAAAATTTTTTTTTAAGCATACATATATCCCATGAAATATTTGGGACATACGTATATTAAAAAATCATTCACTCATCTGAAATTCAAAACTGGTAGTCCTGTATTTTATCTGGTAACCTGCCCCAAGCATGTCCCCCGCCTAATCCCAAGGTGCCTGGTCAGCCTTAGGCAGGACCTGGAACCCCCTCCCCCGCCAGGGAATAGGCTCCGCCCCACGTTTGGCTCTGCAGTAAATATGCCAGCGGCAGGAGCTGGCTTTCCTGGGCTCCAGCTGACAGGACAAACTCTGGGGTTTTCAGAGAGTGTCTCCCGCTAGAAGGAAGGTATTACTCCAGACCAGCTGCTGGACTCCGGGCAGGTTCAGGGAGGGACGAGGTGAGCGGGGGGCTTGAGCCCAAACTGCTAATCTGGCAGCTGGTTCCTCAGGCAGCTGAAAGAACAGGTGAGAGAGATTCCTGTGAGGCAAAGAGTTGCCCAAGGAGAAGGGTTGGACAGGGTGTTAGCTGCTTTCCTTCAGGGGAAATTCTTCCACCCCAGCTCCAAGAAGCCAGGATTGGACAGAACAGATGGGGAGGCTGGCAGAGTGCCCATCCAGTATACAGCCTTGGTGCTACTCCAAAGAACGTGTCTGCTGAGATCTGAATCATAGCCTTGGCCAGTCCATGCTCAGCACCGTTGGCCACCCTCTCCATCTCAGCTGCTCACAGGTAGACCTACTGGAGAAAGGTGGCTCTTATTTCTGGAAAATTCATCATAAAACCATCTCAGACTTGGTAAGAGAGCTGGCATTTGGGGAATCACTGGAGCCTGCCTGTCCCTTTCACTTGCTTCTCTCTCCAGTGTTCCTTTAGGCAAAGGAGTTGCCAAGGAGAAGGGCTCACATTTATTGAGTATTCGACTGCATATTGTCCAACACCACTGGCTCTTTTCACAAGTTTTTTTTCACTCTCACAAGTATCTTGTGAGATACTTACTATCTTCACTATATTCACTATCTGTCAGTGAGGAACCAAGGCGCTGGGGATGGCTCTTCAAACTATTTCCCATAGAGAGTTCTGGCTCAGCAGGAAATGCCCCACCTTGAGAGTGGCATTGGAAATGAAGGGTGGAGGAACAGTCGCCAATGCAGAAGTACTTCAGGTGAGTTGGTTGTCCTGGCTTCCAGCCCTTGGCCTTGGAGTGAGACTCAGGGGTGAACATGCAGTGGAACACCCAGCACCATCCTAGAGTCAGAGGAGGCCTGACACAGGCCAAGGACAGAGCCACCTTCCATACTGGATGTAGACAGAAGTGAGGAAGGGAGCCTTTGATATGAGGACTGCCATCAGGACTTCCATAGTATAAACCCTTGCAGTTAGGCAAGCTTGTTTTTTTTGTTTTGTTTTGTTTTTTAAGGTAGGCTCCATGCCCAACATGGGGCTTGAACTCATAACCTTGTGATCAAGAGTCCCATCCTCAACTGACAGAGCTAGCCAGGTGCTCCCTTTAGGCAAGGTTTGATGGAGGCTTGACAGTTGGTGGGCATCTACTCTGTGCTAAGTGGTCTTCACTTTTTCTTATTTATATTAAGTAATCCTCCCAACATTGTATGGAAGGTATTATCATTGTTTTATAAAAAATGAAGATGAGGTTTCGAGAAGAGGTTGTATGACAGTGAGTTGTACATGGTAGGGCCAGAATCTGAAACAAACAACATCTCTTAACACCTCTTTCCACTCCCCTACAGCTACCCAGTTCGTCTCCCACCTGGATGTGATTGCTTGTCTCAGAGTTCTGTAGTATGGAAACATTACCATTACCATGAAAAGCCAGTCCCTCCATTCAAAAACTAAGGAGCCAATGAAGTCAGATGCCCTTCTCTCCCACAAACTAAGGTTTGAATGAGCCATAGCTCGCAACCCTTCCCCAACCCATCAATGGGTGCCTCCATCCTGCTTGTGGTCTAGTAATCAATATACTATTGGATTCCACATTATTAAAATTGTTTTTACTCAGACCCCATCCTCAGAGCAATAGAATGTCCGTCAGAAGGGACTGTAGAGGTTATCAATTATCTTCAATAGATGAAGAAATTTGAGGTCCAAAGAAATTAAGTGACCTGCCCAAGATTAAGTTCACCTTAGTCAAGCAGGTCAGCCAAGGAGCTTTTGGAAGCTGCTCTGGACATTTTCAGCCCTGGTGTTCAGGGTCTTATGATCAGTGTCTTCAAGGGGTCAGTTATCCCCAGTCCTTACACTTAGTGGCATGTTAATTCTGTTTGCATTTCTCCACCCACCTCAGCATTTGGAATAGTGCTGCATGTCTGCTTTGAACATCTTGTTTATTCTGCCCATCTAAAGAGCCCAGATTGATTCTGACCCAAACCCAAGGATTTAAGTGGAACCAAGAACATCCTAAGAAATGCTGCCAGGTGAACAGTGACATTTTAGGAACTGCTGAGCTGTCTTTGCCTTTTGAATATGCCCTCTCTGTGTATATCATTCCGAGACACCTCTTAGGTCTACCTTGCTCTCAGTCTCCCTTAGAGCATTCAAAGGCCCTGAAGAGATTGACCATAGGAACTTAAGTGGAAAATATCCCTGTAGTCCCCCTCATGAGGCTAATGCAAAACTAAATCCATTTGAGAAGTTTCTTTTCCCCTGGGAAACAACTAAAAGAGGCTGTTTCCCATACACACAATAGGAAAGGGTTAACTGCTTCTCTCGGGTCCTGAGCCAAGGCTGTCCCCCACCAGTTCCCATAACCGGGTTTCCTGAAATGGAGCAGGTCCCAGGTGCCTCTCCACTAATCACATCCTTGGAAATGGGGCCAAGAAGCTCAGATTAGCTCATTCCTTCACCTTCTTGAGGTCTTCTCCACCTGGAGCACAGAATCTGGGGCAGCTTCTCTACTCACCTCCCTCTGCTATCCGGGGTCAGACAGGGATGTTCTCACAAAGCTATGTTAGGTTGTCACCATTAGTGGTGCTGACTTTTGTGCCAATTCTTGGACTACACCATTTGTCCTTCCTCATTCTAAGACTTATGGGCAAAGGAACGACTCTCCCCCAAGACAACACTAGAGTTTGTATAGCTAGAGTATTATTTTCTTCACCCCTATGTTTTCTTTCTACACTTCTTAGAATGACTGAGTGTGATACCAGATAGCTTTCTGGTTTTCCTGGTGACAATCCCCCTGTGTACAGAGTCTGATTCCTCATCCATCAGTAATAGGTTCCCGGGCCAGCCTGGGAGATTTCACTCCTTCCCCGTTTATGTCTAATTTCTACTCTTCCTAGATAACCAATAAAATCTCTATCACAAAGCTTGTTCTCTCTAACTGGCTTTTAACTTTCTCTCTAGGCAGGGTTGGATTTGTCCCGCTAGCTGATGTCCACTGGATGGTAGGTATTCTTTGTGGCATAGAAGCCTTAGGAATGGAAACAGCAGTGGAATCTGGTCACATATGGCTGAGTAAACCTATTGATCCAAAGGCCAGATGATCAACTTTATTTGAAAAACAAGTAGGCTAACTGGGAAAAAGATTCTTCTTCTAGAAGCCATATTCAAGAGGACACGGGCTCCACATGTTTAGTCTTGGTTCCATCTTTGTCTGATTACAGTACTCTAAGGATTTACCAGGCATGCCGGGTATGGAGTCTTTAAAGCTAGTAATATGGAGCCTTATTGAAGCTGATTTTCCCCTGATCTCTGAAGCTGACTTGATTTCATCCATTCTAGCTTTAAGGCCACTATCATCTTCTGTTTCTTCAACTTCTTTTCTCACCAGCTGCAAAGAGGTTGTGGGATCAGAAGTCTAAAAGGGTGAGGATGTCTGAATTCTTTTCTAATTTTACCACTCACTTTCGGTGTTATGTTCCAGTTTTCCTCAACTAAAATAGGAAAATTATCCCAGGAATATAGTTAAAATAACATCTGTGAAACAATTTGAGAGTCTTAGAATCTTGATTTTTTTAAGGTTTTATTTATTTTTTTAACAGAGAGAGACAGTGAGAGAGGGAACACAAGCAGGGGGAGTGGGAGAGGGAGAAGCAGGCTTCCCACTGAGCAGGGAGCCCAATGCGGGACTTGATCCCAGGACCCTGGAATCAGGGCCTGAGCCGAAGGCAGACGCTTAACAACTGAGCCACCCAGGCGCCCCTAAGATTTTTTTTTTATCTTTAAGTAATCTCTCTACCCAATGTGGGGCTCTGAACTTACAACCCCGAGATCAAGAGTTGCATACTCTACCAACTGGGCCAGCCAGGAGCTCCTAGAATCTTTAAATTAGAGGAAATCTTAGAAGTGATTTAATCTAGTATTTCCCACCCAGAGGAGCAATATTTTTTTTCCCAATTCATTTCCTTTATCCCCAGCCCTCCTCTGAACAGCCTTTCTCTACCTCCTTCCTCAACCCCTGGTATCCAAGGTAGAGAACTGATCTAGTTTGCACAATATATTTTGTGTGCTTATGGTTGTGAAACACTGTCCTAATTCACCTCCCTATTTTATGTAATAGTCATTCCAACAGTCCTGACAAGTTGATATCTCGCTTTTACTTGAATACCTCGTGTTGGGAAATTTGCCACCTCAGAGGCAACCCATTCCAGTTTTGGACAGCAGTGGTTTGGTAGGGAGTTTTTCATTATATTGAATTGAAACTCCCCCACTGTATCTTCCACCCGTGGGTCCCAGCTCTGCTCTTTGAAACCACAGAGAAGTCATCTAATCCTT